TACATTTATAGAGTAAACTGTACTTCTCACGGTGACAATTCGTGTCCTTACACAACTGGCCCGTCACCTCCTCCATGCCACCCTAAGAGAATGGAGAGCCCGTCATCCACCTCTTAGTAACCCTGGCAACCGGCACACCCCTCTACTGGGACAACCTTCTCTTACAAGCCGCCGCTGGGTGGTCACACAAACATGTACAACACCTGCCATGTTCTGAGGTCTCTCCCTCCCCACGTGTTTTGCTTCTTTCTCCCTAACCCTAGAAACTAACCTAAATTTCTTTTTTATGTTATTGCCTGATAAGTATTGGAATATTTACATTTTAAAGCAAATTCTGGAAACAGGTGAAATTTCTACAAATAACTCCTTTTTTTTTTTCCCTTGAGTTTTAAACCTTCTTCCCAACAATGCACATGTATTTGCATGATTTTATGGATCTTGTTGTTACCTGCACGGCGATGGCGTGAGATGAACAAGGCCGGAACCGCGATCCCTCCAGGAGGGAGAGGTGGCGGGGAAAGGTTAATTCAGTGACTTGCCCGAGCTTCGAGTCTGTTAGGTAACATTTTTCACTAGACCCTGACTACCATATGAAGAACATCTGAAGCCTGAAATGCCTTCCTATTATACAGATTTTTAAAAAAATTGCTGGTTAACTTTCTCCAGTCACCAAGTTAAAACTGGATCACACTGGATCTGACTTTCAACAAGAAGATAAACTTCTCTTGACATTTACCTTCATTACGTGACTTGCGGATTTGACTCCTTAGGTGAGTTGACTTGCCCTTCAATGTGAGTTCCTGACATGGGACATGAATTCTACGCTCTGTTCTCTGCCAGAGAATCAAAAGGGAGCTTGAAGCCCAACTCCCTCCTGACAAGTCATTCAGAACCATGACATTTTTGCCAGAAATGTCCATACCAGTTAGCTGACCTTATTTATCTTCTCTAATTTATAAACAAATGTAAAGACACCGAGTGTCATCTTTAAAAAGCTATTTAGAGGGGTATGTGTCACGGTGTGTATCTACAAACGGATTTAGACACAACATACTTTCCATTTATGTGCTTTTTTTCCCCTCCCCTAGTCAGAAAAAAAAAGCAACTGGAATTTATAGGAAATAGACTTAAAAATAAGGGACTTCTGTGAACATCAGAGCCATCCCCACCATCCCTTTATATCAGGTGGCACAGAGTCATCATCCAGCCTGGACATTATTGAGAGTGGGACGCCATCAGTAATTGTGGTGTAAAGCAGGACTGTCCTGGGCAAACCGGACAAATGGCCACTCCACCGCTAGCCCACTTCACCATCGTGTCGTGTGGCGGAGGTCATTCCCCACACTACCTGACACACAGGAGACTGGCACCTTCTCTCCTCTCTCTTTCATGGTCTCAGTTTAACCCCAGGATCAGGGCCCTGAGTGGCGGGATCAGTTGAGCGTCTGACCCTGGTTTTGGCTCAGGTTGTGATCTCAGGGTCATGGGATCGAGCCCCGTGTCAGGCTCCATGCTCAGCGCAGAGTCTGCTGTTGATTCTCTGTTTCCCTCTCCCTCTGCCCCTCCTCTCTTTCTCTCTCTCTCAAATAAATAAATAAACCTTTAATCCCTGGATCAAGCTGAACCACTAGAGATGCTCCTTAGGCCAGTATGTCTACCACGAGCTTCTTCCTCCCCACTTGCTTCAAGGAGATTCACTCTAAGCGGTTCTCACAGCAGGAGCCGTTCTTTGGTATTTTCCCCTGGCTTGTGCTGAGAGATGCCTTAGAAAATGATTTGCTTCCTCCATGGAAGTCACAGAGGATATTCTTCTAAGATCATCACCAAGTGTCCCATCTTATCTTTTAAGAATGGAGAGGCAGAAGTTCTGTCTCCCTAGAGTGGGGTTATCTTCTGATGGCCAAAGAGACTTTCGGAGACAGTTATGTGTAGTTGCTAAGAACTCAGGGCAGGGAGTCCAATGGAGTAGGCCAAATTTTGGTTCTGCCACTTCTCTGTAATACACGCAATGCTCACCCTTACGATAGAGCTGTGATTTCACCGGGAATGCAGAATGAAATCCACAGTTCACCCTTATTAACGAGGTGAACTGGAGAATCTTTCCTGGTTCTTACCATTTATCGCATATTCTATTTTCTTTTTTTTTTTTTTAAAGATTTTATTTATTTATTTGAGAGAGAGAATGAGAGAGAGAGAGCACATGAGAAGGGGGAGGGTCAGAGGGAGAAGCAGACTCCCTGCTGGGTAGGGAGTCCAATGCGGGACTCGATCCTGGGACTCCAGGATCATGACCTGAGCCGAAGGCAGTCGCTTAACCAACTGAGCCACCCAGGCGCCCGCATATTCTATTTTCTATAACCCTGATTTTCTATACACGTCTCTCTGCTTTGCTAAAATACAGTCTTACAATACCTCTAATCCTCTCTGGAATAAAGACTAAATTAAACAAGCAAAAAAGCACTTTCTTCTGGGTCAGCTCCACAAAGCTTTCAGTGCCCACCCACCCTAACATGTTTTTCTGGAAGAAACGACGAAAAGTTCAGAGAATGGCAGCCACACACGTGCACAGCTGTACTGATTTCCCGGGTTCTCAAAAAAACCCCAAAAAACCAGAACAAATAGTCCAGGCATGTTTCTTTCCTTAAGTGTATTTCTTTAACTCCTTAGAATATAATTTTATTTACTTCAGTAAAAATTTTCAAAATAAATTGTTAATCACCTAAAAAAATTAATGCTCTCTCTCTCTCTCTCTCTCTATATATATATTTTCCCCCCATAAATGCTCACATTATTTCGTTAGAATGGAGAGGGGCCAACCTAGGTACAAAGACGGAAACAGCTATCATCAGCAAAGACGTCCAAGGATTTCCTTCCCAGACCCGTCAATAATGTCGGGAACTTACACTTCACACACCAAACTGCAAAGTCTATGAAGTGGGAGAGATTCAATAAGGCAGATCAGCCCAAGTCAAGTGGGGCAGTAAATGCCAAATCGAGAATTTCAAAATAAACTGGCTGGGCTTTGCACTTAAATGCCCAATAGCCATTGTGAATGTCAGAACCACCAAAGCTGAGAAATTAATGCTAATGGATGGTCTATAAGACTTTCTACTATAACCCCCAAGGCCACCCAGTTATAAAATATCTGTGTAGTAATCATTTACTAGGTTATAATAAACCCTAAGTGGCGAGATATAAAGTCTTCAGTTTTTTTTGTTTTTTTTGTTTTTTTTTAAGATTTTATTTATTTATTTGACAGAGAGAGACACAGTGAGAGAGGGAACACAAGCAGTGGGAGTGAGAGAGGGAGAAAGAGGCTTCCTGCGGAGCATGGAGCCCAATGTGGGGCTCGATCCCAGGACCCTGGGATCATGACCTGAGCCGAAGGCAGACGCTTAACGACTGAGCCACCCAGGCGCCCCTTAAAGTCTTCAGTTTTAAAACTATGATTCTTAGGGCAAGATTTCTTCTGCCCCAGACTCAAGGAACATCTCCTTTTATCTGTTTAATAAAATACATCCCAGCTCTTCACATAAGTTGGAGTCCTTTTTTCAGCCCTAACATTTGCCCTTTTAGAGGCTATTTTAGGTAGCAATTAAGGTTTATTAGCATAGATGAGATTCTGCCCAGGTATTTCTTGCAAACAAAAGATGAAGGTACCGGTTGAACAAGACTAATGATTGTACGGCAGCCTCTTTCCTGTAAAGGATGGGCGTTGCCGATGCCAACCACAAGGTCGTGTGCGCCTCTCCCTGGAGGCACAGGTCGACTTGGCGTTCCTGGGTGCAGAAGGTGACCACACTGGGCAGAGGAAGATGAGATACGAGGACTATGGCAGGCCTTTATCTGATCATTAGATGCCTAAGGGCTACTTGCTGGGCTCGTCCACATTTCCCTCGGTTCTCGGGGGGGTGGGGGGGGTGGGGAGTGGGATTTCCCTGCAGGAAGGTGTAAGGACTTCCCAGTGATCTGACCAGAGGCATGGGCAGCTTCTAGCTTTTGAGTTGGGTGACGGAGCTTGTATTTGCTCTTCTAGAACAACTCCACCCAGATAAAAGTCCTTCTGACACTTCAAATAAAAACATAGCAGATGGCTCTATTTGTATCTCAAAAAAGGAAATCGACTATCAGTGGATATGAGATATCTGTTCTTACATGTTTTCATTACTCTTTGCAATATAATGGTATTTTAAAGAACTGAACGGCTCCGGACAGCTAATATTAAAAATCATTTTTACATAGACTTCTGACTCTACCTGCATTTGTTCCCTTTATGGTTTTACTGAATAGGTGTGATTACTTGATCCAAAGTTACCCCAATACATTTTAAGCTCCATCAGGGCACTGCTCGGAAATAGGAGAGGATTCACTGATTTAGAATCGTCAGTAAAACCATTTGGTTCTTTTTATTCTTCTTGGCTTATGATATCCACTGGATTTGAAAAAAAAAATTTTTTTTAAATGCCAGTTTTAAGGTCTCCAGGAAGTAAAATGTTTAATTATTAACCATTAGTGATATTAAAATATTTATATGCCTTTTAGTTCTACTTAATTGAATTCGATAGAAAGGAGAGTCATGGGGGTAGTGCTTTATTCGGCAGATAACAGCATTATCAGTTTGTCTGAAAAACTAAGGCTTCAGACAGATCTTTCTTTGGAGACCCTGTATGGATTCGTCTGAAATCATCTGTGTTAATGGAATGTTTTCATCCTCAGTCACTGCAAGTGAAACAAGTCCGTGTTTCAAAATGGAATTTCATAAAGAAATCCATTGCATGAGTTACTCCCACAACAGAACAGCAAATCTTAGATCCATTTTAAGTGCTCTGTAGTACATTTTGGGGAGAGTCGAAAAGTACTGCGCATACAGATCAACGTGTCCCTTTGGGAGGGTGTTACTTTCCCCTCACAACTCAGGGCAAAAGACTGGGACATGATTCAGGATAAACAAGCCAAGGAATGTTCTAGAAGGTGAAAGAGACTTCTATTCATGATTTTACCTGATTTGTCCACGAACGAGAGGTCTGTTCTTTGTCCTATTCATATTTGAATCAAACGGCACCTCAAAAAACTGCAAAAAGATCGAAAAAAAGAAGACGTTAATATAACATGAAACAATCTTCTTTTCTGCTTCAGTTGTATACTTTTGTCCACAGTAAATGTCATTTTAATTTTGATTGTACGAACTCATACTCTTGTCACTCAATGGAGGAAAATTCTCTGGAAGAGACATATTTAAAAATTATATGCAAAAGGGGAGCCTGAGTGGCCCAGTCAGTTAAGCATCTGCCTTCGGCTCAGGTCGTGATCCCAGGGTCCTGGGATTGGGCTCCCTGCTCAGTGGGGAGTCTGCGTCTCCCTCTGCCCCTCACCCCACTCGTGCTCTCTCTGTCTCTCAAATAAATAAATAAAATCTTTAAAAGAATTATAAGCATTAATTGTCTAGAATATGCGTGGTTCCACTTCGATCCACTCTGAAAACCACAGTTAAACATACAGTTGCTTCCTTCAGAGGAAGTTAATTGTTGCGGGTATAAAGCTTTCATGCTCTAGACGATTTCAGAACCTTGCACACACCCCCAAGCCTGTGAATCAACCAGTGGAAATGGGCCACTAAAGTCAAGAACCAGGGCTGAGGGATTAGGAGCCCTGATGAAACTACATAGCCAAGAAGGCGACACTGTGACTAGCGTAACTACCTCTCTCTGCCTGGGGCAGCTCCCCCTTTACCCCTGTGATCCCAGCATCATCAACAGCAACCTTCTCGCTCTCAAAAGCATCCCAATCTGGACGACACACTGGTATGGAAACCCTAACAATGAGGTACTGGATCTGCTCTCCAGAAATTCATACTCTAGGGGCGCCTGGGTGCCTCAGTCGTTAAGCGTCTGCCTTCGGCTCAGGTCAGGGTCCCAGGGTCCTGGGATCGAGCCCCGCATCGGGCTCCCTGCTTGGCGGGAGGCCTGCTTCTCCCTCTCCCACTCCCCCTGCTTGTGTTCCCTCTCTCGCTGTCTCTCTCTCTCTCCGTCAAAATAAATAAATAAAATCTTTAAAAAAAAAAAAGAAATTCATACTCTAACGTAGGGGTTGGCAAACTCATGGGCCACGTCCCACCTGCACCTGCTCCTGGTATGGCTCACAAGAAGGTAAGTTTTTTTTTTTTTTTACATTTTTTTTAATGACTGGAAAAATAAATCCAAAGCAGAAGAATATTCTGTGACATGTGAACATTATCCGAAGTCAGATTTCAGTGTCCATTAGCAGAGTTGTGTTGGAACTCATCCACACCCACTGTCTACGTCATGCTATGGTTGGCTCTCACACCCGAGGCTGGGTCAGGCAGTTGCAACAGAGACAGCATGGCCCACAAAATCTAAAATATTTACTCTCTGGCTCTTAACTGAAAAGGGTTTGCCAACCTTTAATCTAACGGAAAGACGAGGATACAGATGATTATAATAATGTGCCCAGCACAGTGAAAGGGAGATGTGCTAAAACGGGTTCTGAAGTAGCTGGGAGGCAGGCAGGGCAAACATCTTTCAAGCACTCCTAAACAGACTCCAAGACTCTGCAGGAGTCAGATGCTTTAAGGGGACTGGAGGGAAGAAAAGCGCAGTCTAGACGCAAGGGGGAACATACAGAAAGAAAGGCACGGGAGGCAGAAACCTCATGATACGCTCGAGTAGCTAGAAAGAGTTCAGGACAGCACAGAGGTTAAAGGTCCACCCAGGCTTTGCAGTGAGAGACGAGGGTTACATTTCAGCTTTACCAATGACTAGTGGCTATGTGACACTGTCTGAAAGCCCGTTTCCTCATCTGTAAAATGAGGGTTAATAACATGCAACTTGCCAGGTTAATGTGAGGATCAATAAGATATTGATATACAGCATTATGCTTGGCATGGACCAAGTGCTTAATAATGACACATTTAACTACCATTAGCATCAGGGTCACTGGATGGCTGGAAAGGAAGCTCCAGAGGTAGGTGAAGAGCCAGATCGTGGAGAGCTTCACATGCCACGCTAACACGCAGGAGATGCATTTTGGGCAGATCACTGTGACTGCCACTTGGAGGATGGTTTTGGCTGTTAATGGCCCGGGTGGCAGATGGTGAGGGCCTAACAAGGCTGTGGCAATGGAGATGGAGAGAAATCAACATCCTGCTTTACCCTCTAGCCCAACAGCCTTTTATTTTTATATTCTATTTTTTTTTAAAGATTTTATTTATTTATTTGAGAGAGAGAGAATGAGAGACCGAGAGCACGAGAGGGAAGAGGGTCAGAGGGAGAAGCAGACCCCCTGCCGAGCAGGGAGCCCGATGTGGGACTCGATCCTGGGACTCCGGATCATGACCTGAGCCGAAGGCAGTCGCTTAACCAACTGAGCCACCCAGGCGCCCCAGTGTATTCTAATTTTTTAAAAAAGATCTTATCTATTTATTTGAGAGAGAGAGAGCACAAGTGGGAGGCAGAGGCAAAGGGAGATGGAGAGGGAGAAGCAGGCTTCCCACTGAGCAGAGAGCCCCACGTGGGGCTCGATCCCAGGACCCCAATATCACGACCAGAGCGGAAGGCAGAGGCTTAACCGACTGAACCACACAGGCGCTCACCCAACAGCCTTTTAAAGTGTACAGTTTCACCAAGGGGGCCTGCCACTTTACATTCCTACTAGTAGTGTCTAAGAGCTCCACATCCAGACCCTTCGAGAACTCAGTTTTGGGTCATCTCCGGTGCCAAGAACTACAATCGTCTGAGGTGCTTGCCAAGGACAAAGGGAATATGGGATGGCTGGTAGAAAAAGGCAGTTATAAATACCAGCTGTGGCCCTGTGACCAGGGGCAGACACAAGGAATCTGAATACGTTTATTTTCATAGAATCATGTTTGTGTATGTAAACCTGTTTATTCCTCTCTCCCACTCTCCTACCACCGAACGTATGCCAACAGCATTTCACCTGGTGTCTCAGAATTCAGGCTGTACAACATCCAGGGGGACTGTGACCCAGCTTGAAGAGAGAGGAACATCACCCAAAGACACAGAAAGGACTAGTCAACTCTGGATTAGTGAACGTTGGGTTGAGGGATCATTTCATCCTGTTTGGCGTACACACGATTTTGCTATCGCCGTCTCTGGAAGCTAAGTTTGATCGAGACGTGTGCCCAAGGGCTAAGCTGACAAGGGGTGAACCACGCCGGCCGTTGGGTTTGTGCTGCGTCAGTTCAGTTACGGGAACCAGCCTGCCCCACCCCCGCCCCTGCACAACTGGACGTTCCGGAGAGCCACGGAGCCGGCCTGGGATTTGGAAGGTGCAACTGAAGTCTCACACTGCACAGCTGAGGGTCTGCTGGCTGCCCCGGCGGCCTGGGGGGGCACCGCGGCTGCAGCTTCTCCAGCTCCCACCAGCTCCCTGGGCAGCAGACAGTCCCTGAGCTCGTCCACCTCTCGTTCACACCGGGCCAAGGCTGTGGGTCGGTCCACGGAGAACTGCACGCGCTCTTCGGGAAGGCACCTGCGACACCCAGGCTGCGGAAGCAGCAAGACACAGACGCGTGTTCTGGTTCGTTCTGGCCAGTTTCAGCGCAGCCCGCAGACCTCGGTGGCTCCGCCCACCCCCGCCCCGCCCCGCCCCGCCCCGCCCCGCCCCGCCCCGCCCCGCCCTCCTCGCTGACAGCGCTGCTTACCTCGGCCCAGCACCAGGTACGGGCCCAGCAGCTTACCAGACAGCCTCACTCCCAGTCCTCATCGGCTTAATACCCCATAAAACATCCCTTCATCACTCACGGTGGTTCTGACCCGATCAAACCCCAGTACAGCCTTCTTCTCTGTTCCTCTCAACAGTGCCGCTATTTCAAAAGCATTTAACTGGGGCGCCTGGGTGGCTCAGTCGGTTGGGCGACTGCCTTCGGCTCGGGTCATGGTCCTGGAGTCCCGGGATCGGGTCCCGCATCGGGCTCCCTGCTCGGCGGGGAGTCTGCCTCTCCCTCTGACCCTCCCCCCTCTCATGTGCTCTCTGTCTCTCTCATTCTCTCTCTCAAATAAATAAATAAAATCTTTAAAAAAATAATAATAATAAAATAAAATAGATCTTTGGGCGCCTGGGTGGCTCAGTCGGTTGGGCGACTGCCTTCGGCTCGGGTCATGATCCTGGGGTCCCGGGATCGGGTCCCGCATCGGGCTCCCTGCTCAGGAGGGGGTCTGCTTCTCCCTCTGACCCTCCCCCCTCTCATGTGCTCTCTGTCTCTCTCATTCTCTCTCTCAAATAAATAAATAAAATCTTTAAAAAAATAATAATAATAAAATAAAATAGATCTTTGGGCGCCTGGGTGGCTCAGTCGGTTGGGCGACTGCCTTCGGCTCGGGTCACGATCCTGGAGTCCCGGGATCGGGTCCCGCATCGGGCTCCCCGCTCGGCGGGGAGTCTGCTTCTCCCTCTGACCCTCCCCCCTCTCATGTGCTCTCTGTCTCTCTCATTCTCTCTCTCAAATAAATAAATAAAATCTTTAAAAAAATAATAATAATAAAATAAAATAGATCTTTGGGCGCCTGGGTGGCTCAGTCGGTTGGGCGACTGCCTTCGGCTCGGGTCATGATCCTGGGGTCCCGGGATCGGGTCCCGCATCGGGCTCCCTGCTCAGGAGGGGGTCTGCTTCTCCCTCTGACCCTCCCCCCTCTCATGTGCTCTCTGTCTCTCTCATTCTCTCTCTCAAATAAATAAATAAAATCTTTAAAAAAATAATAATAATAAAATAAAATAGATCTTTGGGCGCCTGGGTGGCTCAGTCGGTTGGGCGACTGCCTTCGGCTCGGGTCATGGTCCTGGAGTCCCGGGATCGGGTCCCGCATCGGGCTCCCTGCTCGGCGGGGAGTCTGCTTCTCCCTCTGACCCTCCCCCCTCTCATGTGCTCTCTCTCTCTCATTCTCTCTGTCTCAAATAATAAATAAAATCTTAAAAAAAAAAAAATCTTAAAAAAATAAATAAAATAAATAAAATCTTAAAAAAAAAAAAAAAGAGGGCGCCTGGGTGGCTCAGTCGGTTGGGCAACTGCCTTCGGCTCAGGTCATGATCCCGGGG